TGTGCAATTATACAGAAATCTGACGTTATGAAACATGTACTGTTATCCGATGTATTGAAAATTTTCTTTTTTTTACTAAAATGCATTTTTTAAATAAGTTGTAATGCATCCCTTTTTGATACAAAATCGATTGACATTTAATTAAAGATACTGATTATTATTTTATATCTGGTATTTTCTTATTATAACAAATAATCAAGTTCAACAAGTTCACTAAATTAAACAATTACTAATAATTTTTTTTCTTTCTTCTTTTTTGATCAAGTTCAGAATCATCCTTGTTTATGTTCACTTAGCTTTAGGACGTGATTGAGGTGGTGATGGTAATGCTGATGAATTGAGTAGTTGTTTAATTTGACTTATAATATAAATACACAATTTTATCTATGGATATACATACCCATATAGATTTAGATATACTTAGGAACTACGTTATACAAGTCGAATTCTAATATCAGAAATTGCATAAACACCATTCAAACTCTTGTAATACTCTGAAGCTGATTCAATAAAGCCAGTTTCTTCGAATGCATTAATAAATGACGATATAATCATTTCAATCTCTTTATCGACAGAGAGCAGGATCTGTTTACCTATAATAATAAAACACATTTTTTTCGAAGATCATTATTATCGTATATGGCTTCTCAAAAGAGATACTTTTTAATTAAATAGCCTAACTATTTAAAGCTACATACCTATTTAAAATATGGCGCCTTCACGATAATATAGTAGCTAATTGATTCAAATAACTATGTAAAACCTAATACTATTTAAACATTAACATAGCTATTTAAAATATTGATAGCTATTTAAACAAATGTGCACAACTATTAAATTATTTAACTAGCTGACTGCTTTTCTTAAAAAAATTTTGATCTGTTTATTTAGTGGATGGTTGACTAACAAAAATCTGTAAATTTCTTTTTTTTCACGATTATTTATTTAATACTTTGAATTGTTATGATATTTTTTTAATAATTCTGGGTTTGAGGAGCTCATGAAATGATATCCACTAAAAATCAAGTTTTGTTACGAATAAATTAAATATTTGAATAATAATAAACATTTCATTTTTTTTTACAACTCCCTGCTCGAAAAAAAATTAGTAACTTTAAATCAATAGCTAAGCAGATATATTAAATAGTGCTAGAGATTAAATAGCTCATATAGAAACAAACTCATAATAAATAAATAGCTGAGAAGTCTCTAGATAGCTAAGAGATGTATTTTATATCACAAAAATATACTTGTTCCGTTTTTTTCCTTTTATCAACATCATTAATTGCATCGTTTGACCATGCTTCTCCAATTCATACGTCCGCGTAGAATCTGTTCTACTAATAAATGATGTCGACTGTTCATTTGAGAGACCTGTGAAGAGCAGAACTACATTTGATGCATATTAAGGAAAATACTGACCGTTATGGATAAATTCTTGTATTCTTAACTGAACGTGTTTGTTCAATGCGGAATACGGTGCACATATGTTGTTATTAATTTGCACATGTTTCACTTTGCACTGTAAATTTTTTCCAAATTCTGTTTATTGGAAAATCGATCTTAAATAAACTCAAGCATTTATAAGTTTATGATTTAATCATTGAATTTATAGAAATTCAAAAATGCTTGATTTTTCAACTACTAGAAATCAAATTTGACGTTTTTTCTTGACTAATTTAGATAATTAACTTATATAATTAATTACTATACTAAACGCGTAATGTGTGATTGATTACATGATCTAATTCACATCAAGATCATACACAAAAGGCCTTTCGCTTTTGAATTTAAATTTCTAGTTCATTTTCACTCTCGATTTTCTGATTAGAAAATCCAAATTCTATAGCTTATTTTCTAGTTTACAGTGTAGAAGATGAAAGTTTTGATCAGATTAGAGACTCTTTCTTTCTTTACTTTTAAAATGATATCATAATATAGAATAAATTACGTTAGACTTGCTTAAAACTCATGATCATCAATTGTAAGATGAGGTGATTATAAGCCAATCTCTGACTGATTTTTTCTATTAGTACATAACTTAATGTTGGCAATAGTTTCAAAACTTATAATATCTTTGTGAAAAAGACTGACACTTTAGAATAATCTTTTATATATGTACGAATTCTCTCTTGTCTCTTCCACTAATATGCATAAACTATTGAATTTTCTTTCGAAAAATGAGTATAATCAATGTACAACACAGTGACATCGTAAGCATTCGTCTGAAAAAAGTGAAAACTATTACAAAACTAGTACAACAAAACACATATTAGTGAACAAAAATATCAGAATTAGAAGAATCGCAGCGATATTTCACAAAAAAACGCACAATATTCGTACTCTGTCACGTCGCTAACGCTACTATTTCATCAATAGCTCCTGTGAACGCGAGTTTTTAGAGCTGATTTTTTAGGGTATCTTGAGTAGCCTAACATACATATGATACATAAAAATCAACTTTAAAAAAGCTCATTAGGCTAAGATATATGTGTTGCATTTTTACGAAGTCACGTCGCTAACAAATGATTTTGCCCATATATGTATATGTTGGAATAATTAGAATAACTATTTCCTTGGAAACTTAACTCTGAGCTCACCTTCGTGCTTTAAAAAATTCACAACTATGAGAGCCAGAAGAGAATGTATTGCGTGCGATTGTTGTTTTTTCTAAGCGACTAGTATTAGTAATTACTTAATTTACAAGGGATTATACACATATCTTTTATAAAAAATTTAAAAAAAATTTAGATAAGATATAATCTGAGTGGTGTGTAATGCAAGTATCGAATGTAATTGAAGAAGTACTTCTTATGGTACGTTGTTGCATATTTTCGTTTACTACACCATTTGCAATTTCCAAATGATTGCTTATTGCATTCCAATTTATAAGTGCTACAGAAGGTTCATTATCAAAAGAGATATAATTATCCATAATTATTTATATAATTGTCAAATATTTATGTGAATTTTCAGATTTCTTTTGTGAACAGGTAATAGGAATTTTTTTTCTAGATGATTGTAAGTGAATAAAAAGTTATTAAAGAAATAATTTTTTAATCTTTGATACGATATAAAAATATACTTAATGCTAATGGATAAATATTTATATTTGAAGTCTTACCTATGATTTATTACATGCACCTGAATTAGATAAAAATATTGATTACTATTATAAAAATCTCGAATTATTTCATTATGCATAAATCTTTAACATTAAATTTTTACTGATTTTAATGTTGATTGTTCATTTTAAAGTTTTCGAATTATGTTTTTTATGAAAGTGGTTATGTGTACTTGATTTTTACTATATATATGAAATGCCTTAACTTAACCGTAATTTAAATAAATATCAATCAATGTACAAACTTTTTATAAAGTTCTACTTCTCTTGGATGGTTATAATTTAAATTTTTGTTCTTCATAAAAACAATTTTATTTCATTCGGTATCATGTTTTATTTTAAAATAGCACCCACATCCACCCTTATTTTGAATACAATAGAGAATTAATAAAGTAAAATTATTATTAAGTTAAATCATTTCATATATATTAGTTAATAAACTTAGAAAATTTTTTAGTTAAGCATTCAATAAATTTATTGAACATCTAACTTATTCACTATGTATATCTATAAATGTTACTTGGCAGAAATCAAGTTTGCATTTAGATTTTTTTATTTTGCGTTTAAATAAGTGTCGTTTTGTTATTCGTTTTTTCTCGATTGTGTTATGTACTTATTATAATGATCAATAGAGTTAAGAAGAGTAAAATATCTCAACGAAATAAATATTAACTTATTTGAGTTAATTGAATTCAAGTTTGTTTTCGATTGATTAAGTTGAAGTATTTCTAATTGGCAGAGATAATAAAAAGACAGTGCTTGACTTTTTAATCACTTGATATACATTATTAGTAAGGAAAGATATATCATAAGTTGCAGCGCGTATAACGCTACAATGTATGCAAGATCGTGTGTATAGAATAAATAAAATTCTGAATGAACGATGAAGTACATTACATAATGAAACAACAACAAAAAAATGATCATTCAATATACGCTAATAGTTCTATCTTTTTTCTGATCAGCACATCGTCCTTACATTTATTATGTTTATCCATCTGTGACATGAATATGAGCAATAATATTTTGTATGTGTATATGTATCTCGTTCTCCTTCGTCTTTCTTTTATTCTTTTCGTTCTCTCTTCTTTGTGTGATATGTACACAACTGGACAATAAAGTAGTAAAGAGAATATCATATGCCGAGAACAGTAACAGCACTACTTCAATAGTCCATCATTGTGATAACAATAAAATAATCTGTCTATCTTATGGTTCGTTCCAATGTTCCATCAATTTTATTTCACATTTCAAAGTGTTTATTATCCTCAATGATTATTATGAAAGAGTATTTCATGAAAAATAAGTCAATTTAAAACATATTTATTTTTATTGAGATTTTTAATAAAATAAAAAAACTCTTCATTAACATCAATTACCTTGAGAAAGAAAAACAAAACGAAAAGTTAAAAGCAAGCAACCATATTGTATTTGTACATGTGAAATAAAGAAAAAAAATAATATTTTTCTTCTCCTCCTATATCGATATCTTATGTTACTAAGAGAGAAAGAAACAAAAATGTCTCTTCATACATTTTCTATTTATTTTATTTCGATTTAGTAAACAGGTAACATAACATGAAATATATCTATACCATTATGCAATAATACTTTTCTTTTTTACTCATACATTAACTAACGGATAGAATAACAAAATAAATTAATTGGAAAGTATATTATAAGAGTGAAACTTTCGAGTTATATCGAAAGTTATTATCAACGCAAAATGACATTTTTCTTTTCTTTTCTTTTCTTTTCTTTTCTTTGTTTCGACTATTGATAAGCATTACAATGTAAAAAAAAGAACGTATTTCGATCACATCACAAAAACACATTCATTAATATTTTTTATTTTCTCTCATAATTTTGTGTTGATTATAGATCGAAAGTTGTACTATGACTTTGAAATAAAATTAAATCAAATGATTGATAAATTACTATACTTTGCCATTTGTTTAGATTAAAAAAAAACGTTTGAAAAAGATAAAATCAAGAGTTTCTTTTTTTGAAATTTTTTAAAAAATTCTAAAATATATCTATGTCATATAGTAATTTATTTTTTTATTAATCTTTAGTATATTTATATACCGACACAGAATTTAAACTTTTTATGTTAAAACTAATTTTGATTTTATTTGTGTATAGATATATATATTCTTCTTCAAATAATTTCAAAAACGTTGAACAAATAGAATCAGATTGATTTATATAAAGAAAAACATCGAAATTTGAAAGATATTTCATAGAATGGTTGTTGTCATTTACTACAAATTAATCAATCTCTCACTGATAATTATTATGAGATTAAATGGAAAAAAATAATATTTATATCCTTTCATATGTTCACATATTAATTTCGTTTGAGAATTCAATAGAATTTTCATACAAATTAATGCCTAATTGATATCTTGTTTACCAACATCACAAAATCGAAGTATAATTCACTAAAAAGTATTATAGAACCAGTTATTATTTGAAAAAAAAAGTGATTAGTTCTTGTATATCCCACGTAAACATATTATTTTTCTATTCGTTTTATTTTTAAACCATTATTTATCACATGTCATTTATATATACGCACTATGAAGAAACAAGTAATTCACAGGTAATTTAGTTTGATCACAATAAAAATAAAGTATCAGACGAGAAAAATCTTTTTTTATTTAGATAAAAAAACGTTTGTTTTGTTCACTCAACTGTTAACTTGTTCACGAATTAATATTCTTAACAATTTTCAAATTAAAGAATCAACAGTCAAACTTTATTATTATTATTATAAAACAAGATATTTTCAGTTTAAACAAATTTCAAAACGTATAAGGTAAACAGTTTTATTCATAAAATCGTATCATCTAAACTAGAATATTATTCAATCTATAAGTTTTGAAATCTACAACAAGCTCGAAGTATTTTATTTAATTTCTAGTTAATATCAGAGATAATATTACTATTTTTTTTATTTATAAAAAAAAATAAAAGTTATAGTCAAAGAAATTAGATTTTAGATCGAAATAATCTTGATAAATGACATCAAACATTCATTTAATCTCAAATATTTTTTATAAAATATCTTCAATATCAGTTAATCCTTAAATAATTTGAAATTTAATTTCTTATTGTTTCTTCAACATATCTCCTAATAAAAAGAAAAATGTTTATTTCTGTTAAAATCAATCTTCACTTAAATACATTTTATTAGATTATAATTATTACTATTCAATGAACTTCTCTACAATTCATCTATAATCTCATTTGAAACTTGTATTTAGATTTTCTACTATGTAATATTTTTTCTTAGATATCTTTATTATTTAACAAAAAAATCTAACCTTCTTTTCTATTTATATTTTATTTCTCACTTATTTTCAAAAGAATCAAATACTTCTCAAAATACACTAAAAAAAAACATCTCATGTTTTTACGTTCTCAAGTAAATTTATCTAGAATAAAATATGGATTATCTCTGTGATTTTTAATCGAAGAATAATCGATATTAATATGATTTCTTTATATTAAACTGTCGACATAAATTAATTCTAATAAAACTTCAACTATTGAAAATTGTAATTAAATCATTTTATTTTTCTATCTAAAAGACTGTCACATGATTTTAGACAACGATAATTATCGACTCGTTAAATAAATATTATATCATTACCTTGTTTCTCCATGTGATGTATCGATATATTTTTTCTTTTCTATTCATGAAAAGCTTGACAAATAACAGAACGCAAGAGTTATATCTAATGCTATTATCAAATGAAAAGAAATTTTTTCATTCAACATTATTTTATTTGTAAATACACAATTTTAAGAATTAAGTATATATTTCGCACGTACTTTATGTAACAGATCTAAGATAAAGTAAAACTACATAAAGAATCCTTCTCAATGATTAACAAATGTAAAAAAACTACAACTACCATTTTGTATTGTTATTGTTTCGTTAATAATTACTTGATGAACTCCAATCTAGATAATAAGGATGCTTTCATTGCATTGAATTTATTTTGTTAATGTATAGGTACAAACTAAAATATTAATATACAAATTGATAAAAAACTTCACATTCGTCCAGAATAGTGAGCCAGATTTGAAATAAATAAGATGATATTTATATGTTCTTATTTAAGATAAGAATGTCATCGATCTGGATGGATGTTCCAACTTTACAAGTCAATGAAAATCAACTACAGAACTTTGTTAGTTTTATTTATAAAAATGAACAGATTTTGAAAGAATTTGGTGCAATGAAAATTCAATTGAACGACAGTTGTAAATCAAGTTTAAAGAAACGACGAAATAATTTGATATTAGTTCCAAGGAATGAACAAATTGTCAAAATAAACAACGATGAAAATATCTATTCCCTGCATGAAGTTGATCATATTGACGAATCTATTCAACAAAGTTCATTGGTGATAGATGAACATGATTTCTGGTCGTCATTATCTTCTTCTAACAACAAGCAACGGTTGACAAATACTTCAACATTACCTAACAAGAGTTTCTTTCAAAAAAAAATACATCCTTCACATTTTAATATTCACCGTTTGCCTGAACAATCACTGCTCCAGCTTGGTGGTAACAAAGTGACGCAACAATTTGTTCCATGTATAAAAAGAGCTCATGGACCTGGTGCTATTTCTCAGATGACTACTGCCAAACAGCATCTCTTCTCAATTGATTATCATCATGAAGGTGGTGCTCGTCATTGGTATATTATTCCTCACTACCAAAGGAAATCTTTACAAAAAATAATTGATAGATATAACTCATCATTTTGTCTTGATCATGGGCAAATTTTAATTGATCCTTCCGTGTTAGATAATAACCGTATTCGTTACCATCGAATTATCCAACGTTCAAACGAACTTGTAGTTATATCAGCTGGAACTCTAACACAAAGTTTCACAGAGAATGCAAATTGGAGTGAATCTATTGAATTTGCTTTACCCAGTTGGATTGAAGATGGTCATGCCAATGCATCTATTCCATCGTGTCGATGCAATGCATTTCAAGATTCTTCGCGAGACGCAATTGATGTTACCTTATTTCGACATGAACTTATACAAAAATACATTACTTTCAATCTCAGTAATATTACTGATGATAAATCAATAAGTTTAAAAGGTTTATAGCTATGTCTATACTAATCTTTTTCACTATCATATATCTTTTAGATGACAAGAATATGGATATAGATACTATATCAACACGGAATACTACTACAATCAATTCATCGAACGGTATCTGATTTTTTTAGCATATTATATGACTAACTACGGGTTTGAGCACTGACATTAACTTAAATTCATTTATTTCTTTTTTCTGAATATCATCAAGAGTTTTGTTCGAAAGTGTCATTGAAATTTCAATTCTATTCGATGAAAGATTGTATCTTCTACCATTCTTTGTCAGACTCATCCATATTAATAAAAACTTTGCGTTCAGAACTACCGGTATGAATGAAACTAATTGATTAATTAATTTTGACAACTAAAGAAACTATAGAATTTACGACTTTTTTTAGTATATTTAATTTTATTGTGATTCAACTGATTCTCAATCGTAATTTAGTTGAAAACATGATGCAGACAAATGAGAAACTCATCATACCACTGGAACCAATTGTACCACCTTCTCAATCATCATCGACTACATGGGTTACACCGTCTATCAATAGTTATTTTTCTGAAGAAAACAAAAATAAATCTGTTGACAACAATGCTCAACTACAATATAAAGTATTGGAGTGAGTAAAATACACTAGAACAAAATTATTTTTAGAATAATCAGAATATGAAGAAATAATGCTTGCGTTTTTTCATCAATTAAACAGTAGTTTTGATAAACAGTCTATGATTTCAGATTGACGAAGATATAGACTATCAAACTCATAGAATACGTCCATAGGAAGTCAACCATAAAAATACAAATGTCTCAAAATTATTTTTGACACATCTTGTCTTGTACAAATTTTTACGCTGATCATTTTGAGGGATTTGCAAGAACGCGCCCAAAGTGAGGTGTGACGTCCTCTTGCTTTCGGCATCTCGTACACCCTCCATATAGTTCTTGAAATCTGTAGTAGTAACAGCTCTTACTTTAGTTTGTCACTTTTCGTATGCTAGCATTAAGAATGATATAGTATCCTATATAATTGATAAGTTTCATCTATTTTTATTTGAGATAATTATTTAAGATAGCTAAAACGCATACCAATCTAGCTGCCTGTAATCTTTTCTTAGATTTCGTTATGGAAGCATAAATCGAAAGGTACTAATCTTTTTGTGGTTCTAAATCGTGACCTTTCAGCAATGACTCTTAATGCAGAGTATTAGTCAAACGGCCAAACAATTTCTGATACTCTTATTACTGACAAACACCAAATGAATACAAGAAACGAGAGAAAAATATTTTGTAAAACTAAATATTCATTTTCCCATGCTAGTCAACTCGCTTGCACCTCTAGTCTTGGCTAGTTCAGATCTAGAAGTAAGACAACTTGTATGAAAAAGATTAGATCTGATTACGTAAAATAAAACACTAAACATTAGACACATCAACCATTACTTCTATATATTGACTAGCTGAACTTTTGTTATTCTGCGTAGTTCAAAGTATATTCAGATCCAAGAGGGTGTCCATTATGATTTGTTTTACATTCGTAGCAGAAATAAGCTCGAGACATAGTTGTCCTAGCGTCTTAAGTTTGTAGCTTATTGTAAGAAAATATGATATATTATAAGAGAAGAAGAATGAAAAGAAAAGAAAGAAAAAAACTTGCTACTAGATATATACACGCGTGATCTGTATATGTGCCTTAGTGTATGGGTAAAACCATGCAAAATAACGGGTGCTGCATATAGAATGGCGCTGTTAGTATTTTTGACATTTTTCTATATTATCCGTTTGATTGAAATACTTTTTTTTATCGAAAGATAGCGCGAGAAGTTCTGCAATTTGCAAAAAATAAGCGATTATATGTGAATTTTAGAGCTTTCTATATGTCTTTACTTTTCATCTTCTTTTAAATATATCTTACATAGTTTTGTGGAGAATTTCAAGCGCTCTCTTTTGATAAGAACAGAGTTTCCATTAAACGGATAGTAGAAGAGAAATCTTAAAAATACTAACAGCGTCGTTTACCGCCTTTGTTTGAGTTTAGTTTTTTTGCAAGGGTGTTTCTGTAGAATAAATTCTTCTAACATAGGCATATGTGAAAATGTTAGCGCTTTCAGCTATTACTTAATTAAAATGAATTAACTAATTAATGGATATCATTCTATCCTTGAATTGTCTGACTAAACTAACGTGAGATTCGGATACTCCGGCCTACAAAACCGGTTGTTGAACTTTTATGATGTATGTTGTGTTTTTTTACTCTGACACAAACACACACGTAAGCACATTTATTTCGTATACCACTCTCTACAGTCGAGGGAATGATGACATAAAGTGTGTTTTGGCTATAAATATACTTTTAATAATCTTTTTAGGTCTGATAACTGCAATCAATTGCTATTCAGCGGCTCACCACTAATCTCAGGTAAAAGAAAATGAAATTTTGAACTAACCCCTTTCCAAAAACACTGCTTGTGATTTAGACCTACAATTAATGGATATTTCTCTATCTTCTGGCATTACTCAAGAAGAGGAGCAGGCATTTCTCGATTATGCATCTGGATTATGCTCAGGTTCATCAGAATCTACATCACCGGTAGATTTTAATAAATTTCTAAATGGAGAACTTTCATCATTGCCGTTCTTCGCAACTCCTCATGGGATACAGCCTAAGAGTCCAGAAATGTTAACTGAACAGAACGTCACTCACTCATCTGATCAGCCATCACTGCTACCTATGTCCAAGACGATTTTTGTCTCTCACTTACCAGTCACTATGAATAATCAATGGCTTCGCACATTATTTCCTAAATGTCGCAAGATAATCTTCAAGAAAAACAAATGGATCAGGAATTTCAGGTATTAAGAGCATCAGTATTATATTATGAACTATTTCCTTTGTGTTAAACAGGTCTGCTCTGGTTGAATTTCGAAATTGCGCCGATGCTTGCAAGAACTTGTCTGCATTCCTGGCTTCACTTCCGTCAACTGGTATCCTCTCTAGTGTTAAAGCTCGTTACGCGAGAGAAAACAAGATACAGTCAAAGTCGAAGTTCAACTCTAGTATGGTAGAAGGTGAGTTTCAATTCTGACTATATGAGGTCTGACTGAAGTGATTATTTTTGGTGAGACTTGAAATTATCTTACTAATCTTCACAAATTTTCTATTCATACGATTATTTCTAATCCAGAATGATTGTATCAAAATGCTCATCGATTAACAAAAGTCGCAATACAGATAACTAATGTATATAGTTCGTATTCGATATAATTGATTCTAGTTTTGTGTTTTTTAATCACGAATTTTCATTTCTTCAATATCCATTACACTGAAAACAAAAAACAATTTATACGGAATCAAACAAGGTTTCATACCACGTTCAATCTAATGCGCCTTCAACTATGTATAATCTATCAATAATAATTTTCTTAAACTGCCAGTGTGTATAGCTATTATCATAGACCTCTTTCTGATCGCTAATTCCTATAAATAACCCCTGATTTCTATAACTGCTCTCTTGTTTTAATAATTAACATGTTAAAAGTATAACTAATACTATTATTAGTCCTTTATTCCTATAATTCATCTCCTAAAACTCTATATGATCTTGTATAATTATATCTTATACATGCTTAGAATTTCTTCCAGCTATTTCTAACATTTTTAACTCTTAGCAACTGAGTATAACAACAGGGTGTCACAAAAATTCGTATGGAAAGCACATTCGTATAAGTCCACTGTTTATTAAGCGTAATCAACTTTATTCTTCTTTCATTGGTACACACCACTGTACAGTTTTTTTGGTGCACCAAAACTTGATAAATCAAGGTCGACGTTATTATTGTCGAGTTAAATACAAAAATCTATCCTTTTTTGCCTACGAACAAATCGTTACATAAGGGTGTGGATGGATATGGGTGAGAATAAAATAAAATACGCACACTCACATCTACACCTTCGTTAGCCGAAAAATGGAGGTTAAAGTAATAATAAGTATGATACTTATACTAGCTTAGAATGAGTACAGTAAACAGCTCATTGCTTCTGCCATTATTATAGGTTCCTACAGTTCTTGTGATCTTCATGTTGGCCAAATTCCTGGTTCGGTCAACCGTGACGAGCTACAAAAGCTCTTTCCTCAAGCAACTTCTATCGATTATCGACCGGGTAAAGTAACACCCAATCAAATCAAACAAGGGTATGATACGGCTAATATTGCTACTCACAGATATTTATTTATTTGTTTTCGTTAATACTAGATTTGCTTTTCTGCATTTTGATGATAGTCTTGAAGCTACTCAAGTAATGGAGCACAAAAACCAATGTCACATTCACAATCAGCCTCTGTCAATCTCCTATAGACTGTTGTAATTGTCAACCTCATTTTTATTCTATATGATATACTTTGACAAATTATGAATTTTGTATCATATATAGAATTTACTCTATTTTACGATAGCGTTCAAAATAATAAAATAAAAGATGAGATTCTTGAGCGCAAGATCTTGTTACATGATTCAAGTAATAAAAATCTATTCGATCGGTGTATCGGTGAAACGAAAATTGGCACGGATCGATAGCTATGCTTTGGTAAATGTTGCCTTGTGATGTATATGACACTTACATTCAGTCTTAATGTATCTATTTCAATTTTGTTTTTCTTCCGATAAGTCGTCGAAATATGTTACTTTGAACTTTCATACTTTATTATAGTATTTTTTAAATCATAGAAGTCGCTTAAAGTGGTGAATATTGGTGAATCTCTTTAAATATTGAGAAATACCAGTTTGTGCTGGTTAATCAGTTCGAGCGGTTTTTGTTTCACCGCCTCACTAGTTCGACCAGTGTAGCGGTTAATGATCGTCACCGTTGCATCCCTAAAACTAACAACTAGAATACTTATCTTGATTTATGTGCTACCAAGGATGTGAATGTCGATGTAACGCCCACAACAGTTTTAGTTTCGTCCGTGAAATCATTCTTGAAATAGAAGAAACGTTTATGAAAAATTAGATCTTATAATTTTATTATTGAACAAAACTATGGGTGAAATTGTTTTCTTTTCATTATAAACGAGTAATCATATTACGAAAAGTTTGAATTGTTGTATCACGTTGTAATTGTGTTTGATGTAATGTAACTTGATTTTGTTGTTTAAAACAAAATGCTGTTCGTACATTTCGTCTATATGGACGAGATACAATAATATATAAAAGTGATTCTTGTGCCAATCTTAATTGAGATTTAATGATTGATTGTGTAATTTGTAAATATATATTATAAACAAAATTAGGTAAAGTAGTTAGAAATGCTAAAGCAAATTCAGCAATCATCATTCGATTAACTTGTTGTTGAAGATGATTAATTTGTCTATTTTGTCTTGTTGATCTAAGATTATACCATGTAAGAATACTAAATGTACCAAGAATAATCATTGATAAAATATTTGTAACAATTAAGTTAAAATAAGCAATAAATTGTTTATATAAAACACGATCATTCACTGATGCTGTACATAAATAACCTGAATAATAAATTCCATCTGGAATACAAATAATTAAATAAATAATACTTGATAGAATCACCATTATATAAGCTCGTTTTAATGAAAATAAACGACGATAATATACTTGACGCGAAATCATAAGAAATCGATCAATACTTGCTAAACATACACATGTAAATGGCATATTAAGACCCCAACGACCAAATAACCATCGAAATTTACAAAAAACTATTGAACCAACAAGAGGATCAACACCAGTTATATTAAGTATACTACGAGGATAACGAGATGACCATAATGATACAATACTACCAAGAAATGAACCAATTAAAAATATTGAATTCGACATTTGTCGAAGGGTTTTTATACGAATAAAAACAAATAGATTTAATAAATTACCGATTGTTCCAAAAATAATAAGAACAAACATTATATAACCATCAAATACTTTTCCAATATTTTGAAGACGAACAATTTCATCATTAATTAAATTACTTGACATTATTCAAATTTGATATTCTTCTTTTATTAATATTAAGAATTCTGTTCTACTTTTTCTTTATTTATATATTTCAGATGAATTTAAATCTACATCATTTTGAACCATATAATTAATTAATATATCATATTATAATAGAGATTATTCTCTAAGAAAATGAAGTTTATATTAATAATGACATGATCTACTTTCTTCTTTAACAATGTCACTAGTAAATTGTTAAACAATCAAAAACATATTTACGTATTTTCATTTAAATATTGAAACGTCAGATTGTTCTTTATCAAAATTGAGCTCAAAATAAAGATGAACTCTTTTCTTTTTTCGATCATCAATTTCATGTTTTTGTCACGATTATTAAATTAGATTAAATACTATTATAAACATTTTTTATTGTCAAAAATCAACATGAAAGTTCATTATATTAGAATCTAATTCTTTTTAATTATGTATCGTTCTATAAAAATATAAAATTAGACACCAAGTTATATCATATTTAAATAAGAGCAAATCTCATATCGGGTATTTATTTACTTTTTTCATTTTCATTAACATTAACACAGACACGTCTCAAAAGTCAAAGATAAAGAAACCATCGGGAGATTTTCAAAATTTTCCACCTGTTCATATTTGTTTAGGCATAATTTATATCGACTGTAAATTAGAAATATTTTCAACTCTTACATAAATATAAATAAAAACAACAACCATCCAGCAGAATCAATACGTATATATATGTAATATACAAGTAAACAGAATGAAAAAATAGTATAACATCGATTATTAAATGTTTTTTGTTTCTATACACAAAAATTGTGATTGACACTGACAAAATTGGCTTTTTTTATAAATTTTTCTTTCGAAATCTGGCATATTATTCAACAAAGTTTAAATATACAACATTTTATTTTATTTATTCATTTGATAATGTTCGACTAGTGAAGAGATTCTGTTTTTTATTTTATAAAAACATATAGTTTTTGGCATGAAACATATGATGATAACCAAAAGATAAATATTTCACATGTTGAGAAGTATGGGTGTAAATGTCTTCTCGAAATCTTTTTCTGTGCACATATTCAGAACTTAGATTTTGATAAATAAACATGAAATCGACACGATAAGGTATTCTCATATTGATTGTTAACTTTAATTATATATACATGCTTAGAAGTAACGTGTACTTTTGCCTTATTCTCTTTCTGATCTTTTCTATAGAACATACATCAATTCTACCTGAATACATTATTCGGAGTGCGTAATTCTGCGTATGTATGTGCCTTTCTATTCATACATTTATTAATACATATACATTAGTCTCTGCAGGTGCTTTTGATGTATATTTTATAAAATAATATTTTCTTGTTAAAGTACATTCTTTAGAAGTGAAGTGAATTATATTTACAATATTAAAATATCTTACAGTATATCCTTCACAACATTAAGAACAAATGTCTTGTCATCTCTTCTTAGTTGTTACTCTTGGTATATTATATAATTTAGTATCATGCATCTCTGGTCATGCTTACTTTATTTATCCAACACCTCGCAACACTTATTGTACTAATAGTTCTTGTACTACTGCTGGTGCATTAGGAGCACAAGGACCAATTTGGAGTTTACCAGCAAATAGTACATTATCTTCTATAAGTCCAACAACTCAAACAACATGCAATGGTTCGACTTTAATACTAGCTGCTCCAGTAGGTAATACTTATGATCCAGGATTTCAAGGAAAAACAGCTGCTTCATGGTCAGCTGGTTCAATACAAACATTTCAAATATTTGTTTCTCAACTTCATCCAATAGAAAATCAAACTATTTATCCAACGGATGGTTGGCAAATTCGCTATCGAGATGGTACACAAACTGGTTCAACATTTTCTCCCATCAATTTTACTTATGTAAATGTATCAACAACACCATCGATTGGTCCTGCTCCTGGTGCTGGATTTCAATTAGGTCAAATTGTTTTTGCTACAATAACTGTACCTTCAAGTGCAACTAACGATGGAATATTTCAATTTTTTTGGCGTAATAATGAAGTCTATACGGGTTTCATGTGGTTATCATGTATCGATATTACTATCACTTCTTTTGGAACTAACATTCCAGTTCCATCAATATTTACTATTATTATTGCTGCTCTTTTAACTATTGGTAGTGTAGTATTACACGTGTAAAACGAATCGTCAATAAATATCATCGCATCAGAAATCGAACTACTAATATTAAAACGTAAATTAAATATTGTATCTCTTCTTTTTCCTATTTAATAAAGCCTCTTCATTTTACACTCATTAGTAAACCATCAACTAGTTAGAAAAATCATATAAAACAAATCTAATAGGTATATGACTTATATATATTCTGTGATTAATGATGAAAGAGTACAAACCAACTTTTTATGTTCACACGCGAGAAATAGGATTACAATTGATTAACAATCTATTATAATCGGGTGTGAATGTGAGTTTGAGTAAAGAAGAAGGGTAACTACATCCACATCAATACATATATATAAATTTAATTTTTTTAAATAAAATAAATACTTAAGAAATAGTAGAACCAATATCATATATCCATTTTTTCAATGGGTGTGGGTGTGGGTGGGTGCGTGTGAGTATTTAGATTTCCATATACTTACACCCAAACCCACCCACATCCGCAATTGTCAAAAATCACTTGTGAAATTCTGTACTGCAAAATTCGTATTCCTCAAATAAATTAAATAAAAGTTTACGTGGTTTGAAAACGTAAACAAATTCTGAGTATTCTTTTTAAACTTATAGTTTTCGTTTTTCTTTTGCAGATATGCTGATGTACAAATAGATTTGGAGAAAATTCGTCATAAAATCGGTTATGTCATAGCTTGTGGAGGTAATACAGTCATTTCAAAGATTTTCTTATCAAATGCTCCTTCTCTCTTTTAGTCGAAAACAACAAGCAATTCTACTCACTTAAGGATCATTTAAGTAAAGATAAAATTGTCACTATTATGAATGGTATCTATTTATATAAAATTTTTTATTAATAATGCTAATAAGTAAATTTATTTTTAGATTCACAAAAAGATGTCAATAATTACAATAAAATGAAAAATTAACTCTTGTTGAGATTTCAATTTGATATTTTTGTTATGTGATACAATCATGATCAATATTTTTCTTTGGAATACTATTATTGTTCTGCTTGTTCCCAGGTGAAAGAATAGGGTACCGTAAAACGGTTTGAAAATGATGAAAAACGATAGTCGTTTCCGTTAATCGGTTCCGTCCCATCGGACACGGCAGCCGTACAGGCTACCGTTTTTCATCGTTGTCAAGCCGTATTCCGCCTCATCGAAAACGGCAGCCGTAGGGGATTGCCGTTTTTTGCCGTTTTTGGATCGTAATCGGCTCCATTTTAATGGACCTGGGTACTCTCATGTATAAAACGTCAAAAGAACGTCGTGTTTTAGGCATGAAACGGCTGAAAAACGGTATCGATACGGTTCACCATTATTCACCGTAAACGACCTAAAACGGCGCCGTTTCCGTTCCGATGAAACTACATATATAAATCTGGGTATACGGATTACAGTGTTAAACGGTGAGAAACAACATTCGTTCACAGCCGTTCCGTGCACGAATTTAGCCGTTTCATGCCTAAAACGGCGTTCGGAATCATCGACCTGAGTTACAATATGTTCAAGCAAGTTTTTTTGTATAAATGATGGTTTTATTTTTAATTCGATTTATTGTGTTAACATTCATCGTAGAATAAAATTGTTTAGTTCTTATCATTTGAATTGATGTCTAGATAAAAATCTCTAATCAAATTTTCACAATTTCGAAATCAACGAAGGAAAATATTAAAAAGAAGTCGATTATTATCTGAGTTTTCGTGAGACTTTAGGGGACATACATCCGTGAATAAAAATATCTAAGAATAATTTGTACGACCTTGAGGGTGAGTGCATAGATTATAGAGTAATATATATATATTCTCATCTAAAGCCGCTTTGATAGAATTTTATTTAGTTCTTTTTTCGATAAACTTTATTCTTATTTAACTGATTGTTTTCTACATCTGCTAATAAATCATAAAAAAAATAAAATATTTTTGTTGATTCAAAAGATGAAAAATACTTTTAATATTTTTCGTCAATTGGTTTTTTGTTTTTTTTGTTCTGGTTCTGGTTCTGGTGATTTTTCTTCTGTTGATTCAATACCACATTCTTTTTTAACTTGTTTTATCTCTTCTCGGAGATCTTCCAAATCGTCTTTAATAGCATTTGCTTTGTTGTTTTCTTCATGTGCTTGTTCATCATCTGAAGCGTTCTCACCCTTTTCTAAAGTTTCATCTAGTTGTTTTTCAAGAGCTTTTTCTTCTTATTTTAGTTCGTGAAGCCAGGAAACACGACTCATCTGTATATTTTAAAACAATTGTCATCAAGAAATCATTTAAATTACCTCTCCTTTTGCATCTTCCTTTTCTTGATATTCAACTTGAGGTTTGCGAGGCATCACAATAGTTATGGTGTTTGTTATATGTTAATTTAATGAAATGAAATAGATGTACGGAGTAGAAATTATGTTTTTCGCTTACCTGATACTATACGAATTTTTTTTCTACTTCTTCTAAAAAAAACAACGATATTTTTTTAACCCATTCATTTGTCCAGTGTATTAAAATATGTATAGCAGACTAATACTGTAATAATCACGTAGCGTCACATACTTCTATCTTTTGATTACATTTTTATCCAAATTTAGTTATTTATCTTTATCAATCTGTTTATGAATTACACATAAAAAAAAGTGAAACATTAGTTCTATTTCAATATAAAGATTAGAAATACAGTGGTAAATAATAATGTATCTATACTAATCAGTCTTAACATATATTTATAAATTTTATTTATAAGAAGGAAAATACATATAGAATTCATTAGAATGTACCATTTGTTTATCAAAAATTAAACATTCTATTTTGCTACAATTGAAACGTGTGGTAGCACGAGTAAAATCTCCTGTAACAAATTGTAAATGTATATAATCAATCTTCAATTTCATCGGACGTGGTAAACGTGTTTGCGTCTTTCAAAAATTCTTCAATATAATCGATACAATACGTGATGAAAGTTAGCAGCGAATTCGAGTTTTTCCTGCTGACATTCGCTCATGAACGTGTGCTGGCTCTCTAGTTGGTTGTGCTGGATGCAGAATTAAATTCTGCATCGAATGATACCATTTAACTAGGGGGTCATCGACCAAAAAATATGGATTTGGGTGAAATACTGGGTGAAATGGGAGTTTCACCCAGTAATCCTTGCTGACATTCGCTTCTAAAGGTGTGCTACGGTTCTAGTAAGGTGTGCTGGATGCAGAATTTGATTCTGCATCGAATGGTATAGTTTAGCTGAATCCATGAAAGATGCTCCCGAGACATTTGCTCTCGCGACAATTGCTCCCCGGACATTTGCTCTCGCGACATTTGCTCCCCACGGACATTTGCTCCCCAACGACATTTGCTCTCCAGACATTTGCTCCCGCGACAATTGCTCCCCGGACATTTGCTCCCCACGGACATTTGCTCCCCAACGACATTTGCTCTCCTGAAATATTTGCTTTCCAATATTAACTGTCCATCGGCAAGATGATCATTATTGATAGAGTGTGGGTGTGAGTGTCAAAGATGATATAGTTGGAGAAAAGATTATAACACATACACCCACACTAACACCCACACCCACACTAACACCCACACCCACACTAACACCCACACTAACACCCACACTAACACCCACACCCACACTAACACCCACACTAACACTAACACCTACACCCACACCCACACTAACACCCACACTAACACTAACACCCACACC